GCCAAGGCTTTTGCTCCCCTTCAGAGAAAGCCATGCTGTTCCTTTTCCTCCATCGGACTCAGTAGTTCGTGTGAATGTCTCATTTCATCCATAATGATGCAGACACTGTGGGCTGGTGTCTGCATCAGGTCACGAAGTAAGTTTTCACCGATTTAAGAAGATGTAAATTATACAATGTTTCTTCTCCAACCATAATGGAATGAAACTAGAAGTAAATAGAAGTAAAAGAAGGAAGCCCACACACATGTGGAAATAAAACAGCCAATTAGTGGACAAAAAAATCAAAGGGAATTTAGAAAATATTTGAAGACAAATGAAAACAAGACACGATATACCAGATCTTATGAGATGCAACAAAAGCATTTTTTCTCCAAGAGAAGAGAAGAGAGGCGAGCAGTGAAAGTTTACATTGAAAAGGAAGCAGGATCTCAAGCAGCACTTCACCTTTTGGTTCACTCAAGGAACCAAAGGAAAAAAAGAAAAAAACAAAACCGAAGTCAGCAGAAAGAAGGAAACTACAGAGATAAAGCAGAAGTAAATGAAATTTGAAGAAAGAATAGTAGAAAAAAACGTAACCAAGAACAGATTTTGTTGAAAAGATCAACAAAATTGGCAAACTATTAGTTAGGCTAATGCAGACAAGGAGAAGACTCAAGTATCAAAATTAGAGATGAAATAAAACATTGCAATTCATGTCAACTTAAAGAAAAAAATTGTAAGAAACTACTATGAACAATTATAGGGTAACAAATTAAATTCCTGGAAATTCCTGGAAACATACAGCTTACCAAAGGTGAATCACAAAGAAAGACAAGATATAAACAGGCCTGTATCTTATAAGGACATTGAAGCAGTAATCAAAAACTTGCCAACAAATGAAAAGCCCAGGGTTAGATTGCTTCACTGGAGAATTCCGTCACACATTTAAATTAACACCAACCCTTCTGAAACTCTTCCAAAGAACTGAAGAGGAAGAGGCGCTTCTACACTCTTTCTAAGGCCACTATTGCCTTCATACTAAAACCAAACAAAACACAAGGAAACTACAGACAAATATCCCTGATGAACAGTAATACTAAAGTTGTAAATAAAATACTAGCAAAAGAAATTTAATAGCATATTAAAGTATTATTTTATGGCCAGATGGGGTTTATACCTGGACAAAAGAATGGTTCAACATATCAGAATCAACCAATATAGTACACCTTGTTAACAAAACAAAGGACAAGAACATGGTTATCTCAATCCCTGCAGAAAAGGTGTTTTACAAAATTTAATACTTTCATGATAAAAACACTGAATGGACTAGGAACAGAAGTAAACTACTGCAACACAATAAATCCATGTGTAAAAACCTCACAGTTAACATCATACTCATTGGGAGAAGCCTTCCCTTTAAGATCAAGAGCAAGTGGGCAGGGATATCACTTGTGCCACTACTATTCAACACAGTGCTGAAAATTCTAGCCAGAGCAATTAGATATAAAAGAGAACTAAAAGAAATACAGTTGGACAAAAATTAAAATAATCTCTGTTTGCAAATGATATGGTCTTCTACATAAAAAATCCTAAAGTAGCCACCCAAGAAACTATTAGACTTAGTAAACGAATTTGTCAAAGTTGCATATTATAAAATCTACATCAGAACCCAGACATGTTTCTCTGCATTAACAAGGAATGATATGAAATGGAAATTGTTAATGTAAATCCCATTTACTATAGCACCGAAAAGGATAAAAGGCTTAGGAATAAACTTAACCAAGGAGATGAAAGGCTTATACCTTGAAAACTATAATACATTGCTAAAAGAAATCAAAGAAGCTTTTTTCAATCGACAAGCATTTATTGATATTCTACCTTATCCCTTGACCAGTAGAAATGCCATAAGAGTTACATAAATAGAATAGCATACAGCACTCTATATAACTAATGTGGTTAGAAAGCCTGTATTTTTACATATTAATGTTCATATAAATGTGAGGGGTCATAAGATGATTATGCTATTCCAAGCATTTTGAAAACACTTTGTAACATGCAATAATTTTATATAAACATCCTTGACTCTAGGCTTTTAAAAATTTATTTTTCAATTACAATTTACACTTAATATTATTTTATATTAGTTTCACATGTAGAGCATGTGGTTAGACAATCATATACTTTACAAAGTGTTCTCCCAATATATTCAGTAAACACCTGGTACTGTACATATTATAGTTATTACAATATTGTCGACTACGTTTCCTATGCTGTAATCTATATCCCCATGACTATTCTGTAATAACCTATTTGTATTTCTTAATCCTTCACATTTTTCACCCAGTCTCCTAAACCTCCTCCCTTCTGGCAATTATAAGTCTGTTCTCTGTATCTATGAGTCTTTTAATTTTATTTGTTTACTTTGTTCTTTAAATTTCACATGTTAGTGAAGTCATATGGTATTTGTCCTTCTCTGACTTATTTTACTTAGCATACCCCATAGGCCCATCCATGCTGTTGCAAATGGTAAGACTTCACCATTATATGGCTGAGTAGTATTCCATTGTACATACGTGCCACAGCTTTTTTTTAGCCACATGTCTATTGGTGGTCACTTGGGTTGTTTTCATATCTTGGCTATTGTAAATAACGCTGCAATAGACACAGGGGTGCACATATTCTTTCAAGTGAGTGTTGTAGGTTTTTTCCAGATATACACCCAGAAGTGGATTGCTGGGTCATAAGGCAGTTCCACTTTTAAATTTTGAGGACCTACATAATATTCTCCATATTGCACCCCCCATCCTGCATTCCCACCAACAGTACAAGGAGGTTCCTTTTTCTTCACATTCTCACCAACACTTACTTGTTCATTTACTGATGACAGCCATCCAGACAGGGTGAGGGGATGTCTCATTGTGGATTTCACTTGCGCTTCTCTGGTGACTAGTGACTTTGAGCAGCTTTTCATATACCCAGTGGCCATCTGTATGTCTTCTTTTGAGAAATGTCTGTTCAGTTCGCCTTCCCATTTTTCGACTGGATGGTTTGGTTTTTTTGGTGTTCAGTTGTACGAGTTCTTTATAAATTTGGTTACTAACCCTTTATCGGATGTGTCACTCGAATATCTTCACCCATTCAGTGGGTTATCTCTTCATTTTGTTGATGGTTTCCTTTGCTGTACAAAAACTTTTTGTTTGATTGTAGTCCCATTTGTTCATTTTTTGTTTATTTACCTGGTCTGAGAAGATACGTCAGGGAAAATGGTAATAAGAGACATGTCAGAGATTTTACAGCCTATATTTTCTTCTAGGAGTTTTATGGTTTCGGGTCTTATATTTAAGTCTTCAAACCATTTAAATTTATTATTGTATATGATGTAAGGTAGTGATCTAGATTCATTTTATTGCATATTTCTGTCCGCTTCCCAAACTATTAATTGAATAGACTCTTTTTATCCCCAATATATGTTCTTGCCTCATTTTTCATAGATTAATTGACCGTATAGGCATGAGTTTATTTCTGGGCTCGCAGTTAATTTATATTGATTTATCTGTCTGTTTGTTATGCAAGAATAACCTGTTTTGATTACTATGACTATGTGGCATAGTTTGATAACAGGTATGAATATTGTTTTTCACTCTTGACTCTTTCATGCCGGAGAATCCATTCAATCATAGAGTACGGCACGGTCTGCTCTCTTTCATACTTTTTGAAACTGCCCATTTATGTCCTTCCCCAGAAAGATGACAGAGGTGACTGGTACAGGCTCTGGGGTGGAACTGGCTAAATGAGTATAGCGACTGTGTCACAAACATCACCATCTGAGCCAATGACAGTCTCAGTTTTCTCATGTGAAAATCGGAATGACGACAATAGGGTTACTATTATCTGCAAAGTAGGGCTATTGGGAAGAATTCACGGGCTGATTCCTGCAAAGAGCCTAGAACGGTGCCTGGCACACAGTAAGCCTTCCACAGAGCTTGTGTTTCTTAGTAGCCCCAATGCTGTTGTTTCTGGCCCATGGAAAACATCGCTTGTCTGGGTCATTACAAGAGCTTCTTAACTAGCCTTCCTGACTCAAGCTTCATCCTTTGTTAACCTTTCTCTGGAATGCAGCCAGAATGAATCCCCTAAGAACTAACCTGAGAAAGTTCTTGTGACAGAATTCCTCAACAGACCTTATGACCTGGGGATTTATCTTTTCCGTGAACATGTCCCTCGATTGTGCGAGCTGGGGTCTCCTTTCTCACCCATCACCCATACCACAAACGCAAACAACTATTTGCCTTTCTCTGAAACTTGCTGGGCTTTGTGCTTTCTCCGGTACGTTTCTCTTCCTAGATTCTCCCACCAGTGCACAAACACACCAGTGAATCACACTGATCCCTGGCGCCCCGAGGACGCACAGCAGAAAGAACGACCTGGCAGAATGAAGCCCTCTGCTAAAGCTTCTCTTGCCTGAAGCCAGGGGCTTCCTGGGGCAGGGGTGGAGGTGTGGCACCTACACTGACACTCTCAGGCTCTGGTGCTACTCTGGCAGGCTCCGGGCTCCTGCCCTTTGCTGCGAGCGAGTCCATTGGGAAACTGGGAATGGTGGGGTGACTATGTGGGCACAGGGGCTTATAAGACACCCGAATGCAGCCAGTGGAAAACATCAGGGGTGTCCTAGGTCCTGCAGAAACAGACTACAGGGCACAGGAGAAAGGCAGCCTTAACAAGTCCTCTCTTCTGCCTCCTGTTTGTCTGTTCCTTCTCCTTTTCTCTCTGCCTGACACCCTCATTTCTCTTTTATTCTCGCGCCCCTTTCTCGCGTTTCTTCCGCGTGCGCCCAACGGCACCGCCCAGAAAACGAACTAGGCGTCTTGGACAGGACATGCGCCCTGACCCATCCTAGGCCAAGGCCAGCGCTCCACCACACCCACACCCTGCTCGCCTAGCCAGGCACTTCGCGCTCCCGCGCCTCTAGCGACGGCCCCTGGAAGTGCAGGGGCGGCCTCACTGGGCAGCAGAGCTGTGCCATGAGGCCAGTGAGGACTGTCCTCTCCCGAGGCCACTTGCTCCTCGTGCTGGTCCTGGTGCTGCTCCTGGTTGACACCTTTGGCGAGGATTTAATTTTTCACCCGGAGTGGGGGTTTGACTCCTATGAAGTCACCATCCCCAAGAAACTGAGCTTCCGGCGAGGGGAGCAGGGTGTGGAAAAGCACGTGTCCTACCTCCTGCAGGTAAAAGGCAAGAAGCATGTCCTTCACCTGTGGCCCAAGAGGTTTCTGTTGCCCCGACATCTGCCCGTGTTCTCCTACACGGAAGAGGGGGAACTCCTGGAAGACTACCCTTATATACCCAGGGACTGCAACTACATGGGCTTGGTGGAAGGAGTGGAGGATTCCGAAGCTACCTTCAGTACATGCACGGGGGGTCTCCGAGGCGTATTGAAAATTGGAGCCGAGCATTACCAAATCGAGCCCCTTAAGGCCTCTTCCACGTTTGAACATGTCGTGTATCTTCTGAAGAACGAGGAGGAATTTCAAGATCAGATCTGTGGCGTAAGGGAAGAGGGTATGGACGAGCAGATGAACCAGCCTGAGAATATGGCTAGCATAAGGAGTTTTCTTCGACCCTCTATGCACCAAAAGTACCTGGAATTAGCCCTGATCTTTGATCGTGAGAGATATTTGCACTCAGATTCCAATGTTACTTTAGTCACAAATGATGCCGTTCTCCTGACTTCAATTATGGACACTTACTTTCAGGAACTCAATGTGAGAATACAACTGAGCTCAGTTGAAATATGGACAAGTTATGACAGAGCAAATGTTGCTTTTGCAACATTACAGGAAGCTTTAGGCCAATTTTTGATATACCAAAAAAATGTACTGAGTCGTAAGTCTAACATAGATTGGTCACAACTCTATATTAAAAGACGTTATAGCGATGCTCTGGCATGGTCCTGGGGAAAAGTGTGTACTAAGAGATATGCTGGATCTGTAAGTGTTTTTCTAGATGATTCTGTCCTTGGACCTGCCACTTGGGGTGCTCATAACCTGGGCCATAGTATGGGGATGGAACATGACAACAAATACTGCAGATGTAAGGGTCGGCGTAGTTGCATCATGAACTCTGGACGAATTGGGTTTAGTAATTGTAGTGTTGTCCAGTTTTTTAACCACGTACGTAAAGAAGCAAGCTGTCTAGATAATATCCCAGAACAAAAATTTGTGCTTAAGAGATGTGGAAACAAAATTGTGGAAGACGATGAGGAATGTGACTGTGGTTCATTAGAGGACTGTGAAAGAGACCACTGTTGTGAAGCGGGCTGTAGATTCAAACACGGTGCCAACTGCAGCACTGGGCTTTGCTGTCATAACTGTCACTTTCGTCCTTCTGGGTATATGTGTCGGATGGAAGAAAATGAATGTGACCTTGCAGAATACTGCAATGGGGCCTCAGGTGTCTGCCCAAATGACACATATAAGCAGGATGGAACTCCATGCAAGTATGAAGCCCGTTGTTTCAAGAAGGGCTGTCGATCCACATACATGCAGTGCCAACACATTTTTGGACCGGATGCCAGGGAGGCTCCTATCGAGTGCTATGAAGCAGTTAATTTAGTAGGTGATCAATATGGGAACTGTGGCCTCATGGAAACTGGCTCCTATAAAAAATGTACCAAGGCACAGGCAATATGTGGCAGGGTACAGTGTATAAATGTCAGAACCCTCCCTGATTTGCCAGATCTTACTAATGTAATTTCTACTCATCTCAAGGATGAAAATCTCATGTGCTGGGGCACAGGCTACCATCGGTCCTTGGTACCCATGGGGATTCCCGACATAGGTGTAGTATATGATGGGACCTCCTGTGGAACGGACCGGGTATGTTTGAACACAACTTGTATGAATAGTTCAATGCTGGATTTTGACTGTCTGCCTGAGAAGTGCAACTATAGAGGCTTTTGCAACAATAACAAAAACTGCCACTGCAGGTATGGCTGGGCACCGCCCTTCTGCGAGGACGCCGGGTTTGGAGGAAGCGTGGACAGCGGGCCGCCGGGAATGCTGAAAGTGGAGGTGTACGACACCCTCCAAATCGTGTCCCTTATGTCACTGCGCCTTGTTTTGTTATTCGCCTCAATAATTATTGTGTTTTTTAGACAGTCTGTAGGAAATTATTTAAAACCCGAACAAACTGAAGCACCACTAAGTAATACTGGAGTTACAGAAACACCACCGAGTAACGCTGAAGTTAAGAAAACACCACCAAGTAACGCTGAAGTTAAGAAAACACCACCGCCTAAAACTAAGGTTAAAAAACCCAAGGCAAAAGATACTAAAAAAACGAAAAAGAAATAAGGAAATTCGTAATCACTCCATAACACAGAATCATATACTGAACAAGCTTATCATTTATCCGAATGGCTCTTCATTCTTTTCCCAGCTCCTTTTTTTTTTTTACTTAATTTCCCATCATGGTTGGTCAGCAAATAAATGATATTCTTGTTTGGGAAAAAAATCAGTGCCTTTTACTTTCTTCGTGTTTCCTTGCCCCTTAGCTTGTGATAAGGTTTGCGCGTCCTGAGAAGCATGCCCTCCCTGATGGCTTTCCTGAACACTAAAGCTCGGAATGTTGTGAGTGTCATGGAATCACAGCAGCTTTCAGAGTGGACTCCTGTCTCTCAGAATCCTGGCAAATGAAGGGATTATTAATCTGCCTTTCTCTCTGCCTCCCCCCATGTGACCAGTGAGATGTCTGTGCCTGTGTCTCATGCTGTATCATAAATGGTGACTTCACATTTTGTAGATGGTGACACTTTACAAGGGGTGTCCCTCAGATCAGCATTCCCCCTGTGCAATCACTCTATGCATGTGTGGTCTCCGACTGAGTGTTTGGGGTGACCTTAGTTAGTTCAAGGCTCCTCAGTCTATAATTGACTACAAGCCCACCAGTGTCCCGGGGGCAAGGATCTAAGGATGTTCTGTGCTTTGGGATTCTGCTCACAGGGACAGGTCTTGTGTGCCTGTGTGCTGAGGGACAGCTGGCTCTAGGTTTGCCACACCCCTAAGTAGAGCAGAGGAGAGAGTGAGAAGCGCCTTCCACTCCCCTGTACCCCCATGTCTGCCAGCAGAAATTCTCCCCACTTTGTGCGGTGCTTTGGGGCAGGAGAGGAGGACTGAGTGGCCTGCCAGAGGAGTCAGGCTCCACCTCTGCTGCCCAGGGAGGGGCTCATCCTCCCCAGACCTTGTCAGCCCCGCCGTTTTCCGTCTTGCTCTAGTCTGAGCCTTCCTGCTGTTCTCTCACTTTGCCTGGGCCCCTCCTTCCCCAAGCCCCGGCCACAGGCCCACTGTCCCTCACCCTAATGTCCTCTTTTCTTTTTCTTTCTAAAGATTGTATTTATCTATTTTTAGAGACAAGGGAAAGGAGAGAAAAAGAGGGGGAGAGAAACATCAATGTGTGGTTGCCCCTTTCGCGCCCTCTATTGGGGACCTGGCCCACAACCCAGACATGTGCCCTGACTGGGTATCAAACCAACGACCCTTTGTTTCTCAGCCCAGTGCTCAATCCTCTGAGCTACACCAGCCAGGGCCAATGTCCTCTTTTCTTAGCCATATCATGCTTCTAATTACAGAAGCAGTTGGGGATGCCTCACAATTGTGATACCCCCAGACTGTTTGGGGACTCTGGTCACTCAGACAACATCAAGATAACCTCTATTTTCTGGTTATGAAGCTTGGTCATCACTAGAAAATGTCCTTACAAAGCAAGGACATGGACTTACAGCTGCAGTGCTGATGAAGATGGCTGGGACTAACAGTTTGCTGTGCACTGGGTGATGGTGTGAGTGTCTCACGTGTGTTCATGTCCCACTCCTGAAAGTCACTCTCTGAGGTAGGTGTGGCGATTGTCCTGTTTTCCAAAAGAGACATCGAGGCACAATGAGATTAAATGTCTGCTTGAGATTATGTACTTTATAAGTGATGACATTATTCAAGGAAGCATTATATCTCTCTTCAATAGATATTAGGGAAGTGAATTTAGGCAAAGGATTTATTTAAAAACTGTAAGGATATTGATCCATTGGGAAATGTTTTTATGAAAATTTTATTTTTTAAGCTCAAATTAAAATATCAAAGTTTATTGCTTTCATCTTTTTAAAAATTTTTAAATTATATTTTATTGATTATGCCATTACAGTTGTCCTGGTTTTTCCCACTTTGCCCCCCTCCACCCAGCAAGCCCCACTTCCCTCAGGCAATCCCCCCACCGTTGTTCATGTCCATGGGTCATGCATGTAAGTTCTGTTGCTATCTGTGGCTACTCTTTTTCCTATACTGTACTTTACATCCCCGTGGCTATTTTGTAACTACCTATTTATATTTCTTAATCCCCTCACTGTTCACCCACTCTCCCCCTACCCCTCCCATCTGGCAACCTTCCAGAAGCTAACTTCTTTTCTCTTGTTTTTAAGAGTCTCTCTTTATCTTAACCTGTGGCATTTTTTAATCATGATGTGTCTTGGAGTGGGCCTCTTTGCATCCATCATAATTGGGACTCTTTGTGCTTCCTGGACTTGCATGTCTATTCCCTTCACCAAATTAAGGAAGTTTTCTTTTACTATTTTTTCAGATAGAGTTCCAATTTCTTGCTCATTCTCTTCTCCTTCTGGCACATCTGTGAGGTGAATGTTGGACCTTTTAAAATTGTCCCAGAGGTTGTTATACTATCCTGATTTGGGGGGGATTTTTTTTTCTTCTTCTTGTTCTGCATAGTTGTTTGTTTCTATGTATTAGGTAGAATTGCTATGACTCGGTGTCTTGGTAGTATGGCCAAATGTGGTAGGTGTCCTGTAGGATCCTGTAGGATGATCCCTATCATCCAAGCTGGGTACTTGAGGTGCACCCTTCATGTGGACTGAGTACACCTTCCTCTTGTAGTTGAGCCTTGGTTGCTGTTGGTGGATCAGTGGGAGTGATTTACCCAGGCCAGTCAGCTGCAAGGGGACTATCAGCCTCTACCTTCTGTGCAGGATCAGCTGAGCAGGGGCAGGGTGGTCATGCTCCAATGTGATCTGTAGCTGTCCACTGGGTACGTTGGCCCTGGGGTTCCCTGGTGGTGCAGGCCAAGGTCAGCCAACACCTGTGCTTTGCCTGGAGCACCCTGCTGGAGCTGTAAAGCAATCTGAGAAGCCTGCTACTTGTGCTGGGCTTGGAGATTCCCAGGTGAAACCAAGCTGTGACTCTAATCTGGGTGCTGCTAGAGCTGATTGAAGCCAGCCATTGCTTGTTTGATAGGGTTTAGGAGCCCAGACCAACCATTCTTGTGTAAAAGCAGCTTGGGTGGGCCTGTAAGTTGGGTGGTGTAGAGTCCCTGTGGATTTCTGAGGTGGGTCATACAGTGTTAGCCAGACTGATGGACTCTCAGATATGGCACCAGCCTACTGGCTCTGTGGGGGGAGGGCTGAGCCAAGGGACAATGGTCTCTGCTTGCCCAAATGCCAGACACTTCAGTCTCTCCCTATATACCACTAGTACCCTTCAAGCTGCCACCCTGGTGCTGGAGCTCAGGGGAAGCGAGTCTGAGTAGGTGAGTGTGTGTGTGGGTTCCCCCAGAGGAACTGCTTAGGGCTCCAGCAGCCCCCTCCACTGACCTAATCCCCACTGGTTTTTGCAGCCAGAAGTTGTGGGAACTTATCTTCCTGGCCCAGGAATCCTGGGCTGGGGGGCCTTGTGTGGGTCTGGGACACATCACTCCTGAGATATCCCTCCCTGATTATCCATTCAGGTGTGGAACAAGCCCATTTTGCATCTGTGCCCCTCCTACCAGTCTGGATGGATACAGTTTCTTCAGTTCGTAGTTGTCAGGCTTCCATTCAACTTAATTTCTGATATTCCTGAGTGATGGTTGTCCTATATTTTAGTTGTAATTTTGATGATTTTGTGAGAAGAGGCGAGCCATGTCTGCCTATGTCACCATCTTGACCAGAAGCTGAAAGTTTAAATGTGATAAAGTGTTCATAATATTTAGAATCTTACCCACTTTTTCTTCTATTGAAAAATTAATGACAAATATAATTGCATAGCAATAGAGTGTCCAATGTGGTGATTTGATATGCATGTACATTGTGGAATGACCCCCCAGATGAAGGTAATTAAGAGATCTATCACTCACATAGACAATTTGGGCAGGGGAGGTGGTGAGAATGCTTAAGAGAACTCTCAGCAAGTTTCAGGTGTATTATTAACTACAGGAATTATTAACTGCAGTCACCATGCTGTGCATTAGATTCTGAGAACTATATTACTTACAACTGAAAGTTTGTACCCTTTGACCTCCATCGACCCCTTTCCCCTTCCTCCAGCCTCTGTGACCACCATTCTAGTCTCTGTTTCTCTGAAACTAGTGGGGTTTTCATTACATTCCACAGATAAGTATCACCATGTAGAATTTCTATTTGTCTGGCTTCTTTCACTTAGTATAATGCCCTCCAAGTTCTTCCATGTTGTTGCAAATAGCAGGATTTTCTTTTTATGGCTAATTACTATTCCATACACATAATACACACACACATACACATCACTTTTTACTTATTCATTCATCCAGTGAAGGAGATTTAGGTTGTTTCCAAATTTTGGTTATTGTGAATAATGCCACAAGGAGCACTGGAGTACAGCTATCTCTTTGAACTATAGATTTCATTTTCTTTTTATAATAATATATATCAAGGAGTGGGATTGCTGGATTATATGCTGAATCTATTTTTAATTTTTTAAGGAACCACTATACTGTTTTTCACAGTGGCTGTACCAATTTACATCCCCACAAACAGTTTTTAAGTTATCTTTTTTCTGCACCTCCTTGTTAACATTTGTTATCTCTTGTTTTTTTTTTAACAATAACCATCTTATGAGTTATGGGATGATGTCTTATTGTGGTTTTAATTTGCATTTCCCTTATGATTATTGCTGTTGGTTACCTTTTCATATGCTTATTGGCCATTTAAATGTCTTCTTTGGAAAAATATTTGTTGAGATCTTTGCCCATTTTTATTGGATTATTTGCTTTTTTGTTGTTGAGTTTATACATTCTTTATATATTTTGCGTATTAGGCCCTATCAGATATATGGCTTGCAAATATTTTTTTCCATTTTCTAAGATGTATTTTCAATTTATTGTTTTCTTTGCTGTGCAGAGCTTTTTAATGTGATGTGATCCCAGTTGTTTGTTTTAGCTTTTTGTTGCTTCTGCTTTTGATGTCTTATCCAGGAAATCATTTTCAAGACCAGTGCCAAAGAACTTTTCCCATATGTTTTCTCCTAAGAGTTCTACACTTTCAGGATATACCCAAGGATATGTT